GCGCGCGGGGGGCCCGGGGCAGCCCGCAGCCCGCTGCCCGCCGAGGCCGCGTGTTGCGGCGGGCTTGCCCCCTGCACTTGCGGATGGCCCGTTTCAAGTTAAGTGCGCGAACACCGAAGACGTGAGACTTGGTGGCCCTTAGCGTAGCAGTCGTCTCCTGAACTAGAAACTCCCTGGATGGTGCCGCCTAGTCCGGTTTCCGAGAGGGTCTGGCTCCCTGGAACACTTAACTGAGATTTCTGCATTTTTCATTTTGTTCTGTTTTACTTCTGTGCCTGAAGAGGCACAGTCTGGATCCCATTTAACAGTCGGGGTGGTGTTTTACAAATTATACTGTAGTTGGGGGTAGATTGCGAGTGTACATTATCTGATTATTTAAAAAGGGAGGGGGTTCATTCATTAAAATTACTGGAACAAAATCCCTTGCATCTGATTCTTATTTAGAAAACGGATTGGAAATTTGGAACTTCATAACTAGGCTTTGTGAATACAAGTATACATTGTATTCTAACTGGATTATGTAAGAATGGCTGAAGTTTTACTTTTGGAGAAATGTGGACTGCTTTTGATAAAGCATGCAAACACTTTTAAATGGAGAAGCAAAGATCACAAACCACTAAAATTTGAAATATCTTAAGTATCTGGCAGTTTTGAGAGGGATAAAAAGGTGGAACAACTTCTATGCTGTAATGATAAAAGTAGATTACCAAAAAGTAATCCAAGTCAATGTGTAGCAAAATTTTAAAAACGAAAGTGCACTTTCAAATATTCAGGTGTATAAGCTTGCATGTGACATACATTTTTTTTCTTTTTTAAAAAACTGCATACTGAGGGTGGAACTCAGGGTCTCATACATGCTAGGCAAGGACTTTACCATCAAACTACCTCTTAGACCCTGATTTTTTAGCATCTTTTTTTCCCACCTCTTCAATGCTGGAGCTCGAACCCAGGGCCTCCTAAGTGCTAGGCAAGCATTCTACTCCCCCCTGTTAGGCAAGCTACCTCCCCCCTGTTACTTATTTTATAATTATTATTAAAAAGTAAATTTTTGGAATGGGTTAACTGTACCATGAGAATCTTTGTAAGAATATCTGTGGACAAGTCAATGATGGGTATTTTACTAATGCAGCCTAAAATTCTTTATTTTTTTTTAATATGGAGAAAGGATTTCTGTTCTTTGGGTGGGTAAAGTAATATCACTGTAGAATTATGTATTCTACATAATGAAGAAACCATATCACCAAGTGTAGAGATGAGAATAATTAGTAAGGAACTGTCAGAGACTTTGAAATTTTAAAGTACTGACTTAGGAAATTCAAATGAACACTTCAGAGAATTTTTATAGGGTATATGTAACAACTTGACCATTTAAAAAAAATATTTTCTAGTTAGCTGTGTTTTAATTTAGCCAACTAAACAGCTGTGTTATTCTGGGGCAAAAAGAGTTTGTTTTGTGGTACTCAAAATTGAACTCAGGGCCTTTCCACTGAACTACATCCTCAGCTCTTTTGAAAAATTTTTTTGAGACAGAATCTCTCTAAATTGCTGATTTGCCGAGGCTGACGTAGAATTTGTGATCCTCCTGCCCCAGTCTCCCACCGTGCTGGGATTACAGCATGTGTTGCCATCACACTGGCTAGAGAGGGATTTTTGGCTCCCCCTCCCCTTGGCAACTCACATGAAAATAAAAGAACTACCTTAAAAGACAGTGAATTAGGAGTCAGGAAAAATGTTTCAAGCTTCTGCTTTGCAACTACTTAGCTTTGAGAATTTAAGGAAGCCTAGTTAATAAGAGGGTTCCGCAAGAAATTTTCAAGTTTCTGCAAGATCAGTGGTTCTCAACTGTCTCTGGGGAGCTTTTAAAAATACTGTACTGTTGTGCCAGGCATGGTGGTGCACACCTATAATCCTAACACGTGGGAGGCTGAGGCAAGAGGATCGCCCTGTGTTTGAGGCTAGCCTGGACTACATAATTGAGTTCAAGGCCAGACTGAAGTACAAAGTGGGACCCTGTCTCAAAAACAAACAAACAAACAATGTACTGATGCTCTTTCCATCGATCTGGACCTCACCCCGGGTTTTAAGATTTTTAAATTTCCCAGGTAATTTTAATATGTGCCAAATTGAGGACCACTGTACTAGATGAGCATTGTTTCCCAGTCTTAACTAATCGGACTCACTTTGATGTAGAATAAAGATTTTTGTCCTGCCAACAGCAATTAAATCAGAATCTTTAGGGTAACTTTGTGGTAATTGTATTTGGGGGGGTGTTTCTCCGGTACCGGGAATCGAACTCACGACCTTGCGCTTGCCAGGCAGGCGCTGTGCTGCTGAGCTAAATCCCCAGCCCGGTAATTGTATTTTTAATAGGCATCTAGATGATTCTTAAATCGTTTTGGGAAAAATGGACTAATCTGTGAACTTCTGTGTGTACATATTGTAGCACTTTTATACTATAATACAAGTTTATTAATTAGATGAAGGCTATATAAAATTTGGTATATAGAGCTAGGTATTGTCTCAAAGGTTTTTTCTGGTATTGAAAACTGCACACAGGAAAAAAGTACAATCTGTGACATTTATAACTGCTTTGATTTTATACAAATTAAAGTGTTACTATTATAATTTACAGAATGACATTCTAAATGTAAATGGAATTCACAGAATGGATAATTTTTCTCTTTTAAAAAGTTATTTTCTTTTACATATTTTCTATGGTAAACATACTGTACAGGATTTGTTTGCCAAATGAGCAACTTTTTAAAATATACATTTGGTATACATCCCTTTAAATATTTTAATGCCTGAGGTGAGAACATTGTATTTTTATAAAGTATTATTAGTATAGCAGTATTTATAAATAAATTTATAAAATGTGCATAAATATAGCCTCGTATCTAAAGGTCTTTATTAAAAATAATAGAGATGAAAAATATGGGGGAAGTTGAAGGGAGGTATAATCTTTGTCTCTTTTCACTCACTTCTTCATTTACTCACTTTTCTCAGGCCCAACTCCAGCAGCCTAGCTTTATATTTTAGCTGGATGTTGACCCAAATAAAGCAATATGCAAACACCTTTTTTTTTTTTGGCAGTGTTGGGGGTCCAGCGTAGGGCCTCGTGTATGCAAGACAAGTGCTCTGCCATTCAGCTACACCCCAGCACCATAAACAACCCCTGAAATTTAAATACCGAGTTCCTGCTTTGAACACATGTACAGAAGAGTAGGAAAAGATAAATATAACTCAACACTATAGAATTTTCTGAAATACATTAAGGGTAAAATGTTTTGCAGGGCCTGGGAAAGAAAATTTAAATATTTAAATTATGATAATGATAATTTAAGTATGAACTAATATAAAAGCTTGTGATCAATTAAAAAATTAATTCTTTAATTGTTAGGAGGTATAAGGATAACACTTTGCTTTGGGAAGAGGTTATTAGTTGCCTGTGATGAACAACTTACCCACTTTGTTTTCATCTTCAGGCTTTCCTTCTGGTAAAACAGAAGTTGAGTGTGGTCATGCATGTCTGTAATCCCAGCTACTCAGAAGGCTGAGGTAGGAGGATCATGAGTTTGAGGTCAACCTGGATAACATAGCAAGGTCCTGTCTCAAAAAAACAAAACAAAAAAAACCCCTCCTAACTAGATAAAATTGTTAAGTTCCCAATTCTCATAGTCCTCAAAATGGATTGAAATCTTGCCAAGAGACTTCCTGGAGAATATGAGAGGGTGAGGATGAAGGTGATCATATTTTCCATTTATGACAGGGCTTCCATTTGATTGTTGCATTAATCTCATTTAGGGGAGAGATAATCATAGTATTACAATGTTCAGTAATTTATCCAAGATCACACAAATACAGCCTGAGGAAGTACCCAGGTATGCAGATTCCTACCTGCAGTATTATTTTCACTCTTTATTGAGTTTGCACAGGGAAGTGATGGAATAAATTCTGGCCTTTAATTCTTGAATTAAAGGAATTGTAATGTGGTACATTTTAAAAGGCTGCCATTTTGAATAAAATTTGGCTCTGGTCCTGATCTTTCTTGTAACTTGCTTCACACACTTATTTTTTCATATTTTTTCTCTTCCTCTCTCGTCTTCCTCCTCCCTTACCCCTCCAGGATTGAACCCAGGGCTTTGGACTGAGCTGAATTCCCAGCCTTTTTAAAATTTTGAGATAGTCTCACTAAGTTGTTAAGTTGCCCAGGCTGGCCTCAAACTTCCTATCCTCTTGCTTCAGCCTCTCAGAGTGCTGGGGTTACAGGTGGTTATTATTTTTCTTATTTTCTGAATGACAAAACTATATTTTCAGTTACCCTTTTTACTTTAAAAAGTCAATTTTTATTTAAAAACTGCAGATCCCTATTTTCAGAGTAGAGTACACTTTATGTTCTACACAGTAATTGGTTTGCAAATTAGTGTGATTAGTGGAATTTATTAATTGCCTTTTCTGACAAGCCATTAACATCTTTTGATTCCTGAATTAATTGATTTAACTTTACTGAAATCATCAAAGTGAGTTTTTTTTTTTAGCAAAATTAAAAAACTTTGCGTTGGGTACCAGGTTCCGCTTTCATGTTTGAAAGCATTATGACTCATAGAAACACATTTTCCTAATCTCTGAAACAAATTATTTCATTCCTTAAAAATTTTCATTCATGATATTTTCTTTTTTTGTTTGTTTGTTTTTTTTCCAGTACTGGGAGTTGAACTCACAACGTTGCTCTTACCAGGCAGGCGCTGTGCCGCTGAGCTAAATCCCCAGCCCCTTCATTCGTGAAATTTTCATTCAACAGTCTTACAGTGTTTCCTCTCTGCTAAGAGTAATGTTAAATACTGGGAAACAAACCTGAATATCTACTATGAATTTGGTTTCCAAGACTTTATAATATAGGCAGAGAAACAGATTAGTAAATACGTGTCATAGTGTAAGTGCTGTGAGTGCAGCAGGAGTATATATGAGGGCCTTAGGCATCAGAATAGCTAGACCTGGAGGATGAATAAAAGTTTGCCTAAGTAGATGCGGAGATAAATGTGTGAAAAGTACAAAGAAATGAAATGGCACAGTAGCTTCAGAGATGATTAAAGTGTT